ATGAAATGACATGCATGATGAAAAGCTATACCAAATGCACCCGGTGATGTTGGTGACTTTTACGTCAGCTTGATTTTTGCTAAAATATTAATGCCATTGCTGTCACAGACAGTGACTCGTCTCCTTGTTGTGAAATAGATTTTCAATCTCTATTAAGCATCCTGACTGGTCTCTTTTCTCAGCAGACTCTTCAGCCAAATCATCCTACAACTTTCCACCTGAACAAATAATTTCAGTCAAAGTAAGAACACGTTTTCCTTTTTTTAAATTATTTTCTTTACAGGAAGAACCATGTTTATACTGGCACCTAGAATGCCTCACTTGTTCACCAGCTCAGAAGTTTACTCAAACTCAAACATTTTTTTCTTTTTTTTTACAACGTAAACAGAGGGCTGAACCGTGTTCTCGGGTCACGCTGAGGCCGGTGCTGACTGTCGATGTGTCTGACAGCGTTTCTTAGCGCGTAGCGTCCCTGAAATACTTGTGCCTGTTCATCAATGCATCTTTTTTTTCCCCTCCTTGTGATCTCAAACAAAAATAGTTCAAAGGACATGGGTGGATTTTTAGTCTGAGGTGCTGAAGTTTAAAATTAATTTTTTAATAATTTATTCTCAATTGTTGCTGGTGAGACTTGTTCTTTTTGTTGTTTTTTCATTTGTGGATTCTCTATTCAACCACTGCTTCGCCGGTTTTGAGAAGACGACAGCACATGCTGACCTATAATGGAGGACGCCATTGCCATCATAGTTGTTACGTATCATACATTATTTCCTGTATCCATATCCATACCACATATTTCCTACATTTAACTCACTGTACAAAGAAAATTAATAGGAAACCAACATGAATATTAGTATTATTGCCTAAATGTGTTTAATATTGCAAACTGGAGAAAACATCAACATTGTGTGCTTCAACAACTGTAAATCCAGCACATCAAAGATTCATATCAAGAAATGATGTTCTTATAGATGCTGTGTTTTCAGCTTCCACCAGAGCACTAATTGAATCCAGCTCAAAGAGCAACCATCTGCTGTGGAACCTTAGACTCCTATAAATAAACAGGCCGCACTCCTTCAACACTCGCCTATATGGCACATGGAATGGTTAGCTGACGGCAAGAGCCCTCTGATCTTACAGTTGATAGCCACAACTATTTTCTGTCAGTTGTGTGCTTTGCTTGACTCGAATACTGTGTCAAGAATGACGTCTCTGAAGAATTCATAAAATTCAGTCAGCCTTTACTGTAGAATGGTCTAGTCGTTATTGACTGTTACTAGGTAGTGTTGATGTTGCTATCAGGGTAATTTTCTAGTTCGTTAAAGGTAATATATAGGTGGTTTGTTAATTTGGCTCAACCACTAGACGTAGTGCACTTAAGGCCTTAAAAAAAGAGAGGGAAAGTATGATATTTTACTAACTAAATTAAATGTTTTTACTCTTCACTAATATAAATATGGGCTGTTAGCAAACAGTTGCCTAATTGCTCATCATGAACAAGCTTGATCCCGCAGCAAGATACAAAAATGCCTGGTGGCATTCACTTTAACTAGCTTGACTACACTGAAGAACCAAAACATGAAGCTTCAACTTCAACTCAGCTAATATATGTAACATTTAACATAAGGAGAAAAACGATGGTGGTATACGTAGTAGTCACACAAATACATTTAGGCTTTTATTAAACATACACATCATGGCGTTTTTAGGGTAGAGCCAACGTTTGTGCTATAAATGTAATATCTACACTCCTTAATGGTTGAAGTGCATTTATTGTAAGTCGCTTTGGATACAAGTGTCAGCTAAATGACATGTACTGTAGTGTAATGTAATACGTAGGATCCTGATCAAACTGTACCAACATTGGTGACAGAGATTACACTCTATACGTTTGCATATATGATAATACATTATAATGTCGCATAAGTAGGTGAGGTAATTATTGTAATGAATGTTCATTTCATGTCCATTTCAGAATGCTGTTTTATGTAGTGGATGAATTGTGACCAGGCATTAAGGACTAACTACTCTGTATGTGATTTTTTTTTGTGTGCAAAAATGTAAAAAAGCAATGGGTTAAAAATGCAATGTAAGTCCCTTTGGATAAAAGCGTCAGGTAAATGACCTGTAATGTAATGTAATGATTACCAGTGGACCTGTTGCAAACAAAATAGCAACAACAGTATTAGAAGGTAATAGGTAGATGTGTACATCATTCAAGGAACATCACATGGTTATTGCCTTAATATCACCTCATTAGGGTGGAGCAAAAATCATGCTTATGGTCGGACATCCGACAGATCCTCAGGGATTAAGCTAAATAAAGAAGCAGTTGGTAATGTGTCATTTATGTTTGTTTGCTAATTGTAAAAGTTATTTATTACATAAGCATGTTGTGGACCCAGCATCAATATCTGACCGTGTTGTGTCCCGTTGGGCACAATCCTAATACCATAAAAGAAAGAATATTATATTTGGCTATTGGGAATTGTAACTGCAAAAATATAACAAAAAAAAACAATTTACACCTGTGTTGACAAGAGCACCACCTATAGACAGTAGAACTGTATTTAGGGGAAATATCTCAACACAATAGCACGCAGTCTCTGAATTATAGCTGACTACAACAATGCATTTACAGTTATTACATTGCAATTGTTCATTTTCTTTGATGGTCCTTCACCGTATCTTTACTTTACATGCATGTTCTTCCTCTTGCATCTTGCGCTACAATCACAGTATAAACGACCAATTTGAATAATACATAAAACATTTTATAACACTGAAACAATTATGATCCCACTGTGAGAGATGGGGGTCCTGACATTCTGACCTCCGTCGTTCAGACGTCATTTTTGATGGCTCAGTACAATTATATGAAGGCTGCAGTGCTGCCCATGGTTTATCATGACTGATTAAAGTGGATCATATTTAACGGCCGTCCATTGCCACGGTGGGCAAACTTACTAAATAATTTGCTGTTGCTTGATAGAATAGGTACTCACTCAAGAAAATACTCATGCATTAGTACTTTTTGTAATTCTGCTCATAGTTATTTGAAATGATTTCAATATGTTTTACCGCAGTAAACAAAACATCATGCAGCTGCGGCTGTATCAGAAGAATAAAAATATTTCTTAGAAGAGCTCCACACAGAATTCAGATCAGATATTCGATTTAGGAATTGCCTCTAATAATGATGGTGTTTGAATAAAATAAATAAAATGACTAAAATAAATTTGAGTATGAAAAAAAGAAAGAAAATCTATGGGACAGAAAGTTCTGGGCCAACAACGAGTTTCAAAGCAATAACACTTAATACTAGTTTTAAAAAAGACTGATTCAGTACTAAAATTGACAATTTCTTTGGCATTTGCCTCACTGGGGAACCATCACCTTATCTTGGTGGAGAGGTTTGTGTGTTCCTATGACCCTGAGGGCTGTGTTGTCGGGAGCCTTGTGCTTCTGGTAGGGTTACCCTGGGCAAAGTGGTCTCAGGCGAGGGGCCAGACTAAGAATGGTTCGAAAGACCCTATGAAAAAAACGGAAGAGAGAAGGAGTTAACCGGCCCGGAGGAAGCCCGGGGCCCCCATTATTTTAGCCAGGCTCAGATGGAGGGCCCAACAGCGAGCGTCTGGTGGCCGGGTGACAGTGGGGGGTCTAGACGGAACAGACCTGGGCGGCAGACGGGGGTTGGTCCAGCATTTCATCGATACTGGCTCTGCACAGCCCATCCGTCTGCGGCCCAATTGACTGGCCGTCATTAAACAGCAAGCTGCAGAGGAGGGAATTCGCGAGATGGCTGCTGCAGGAGTAATTGAGCCCACGGACAGTCCATACTATCGGCGCTTCATCCGAGATTTTGCTTCGATTGCCAGTCCCCTCCATCGTCTGACTAACCTGGGCAAGCCATTCCTCTGGGATGACACCTGCACCGTAGCCTTCAACCGACTCAAGGCATCGCTAACCAAAGCCCCGATCCTTGCCTACCCTGATGCCCGCCGGCCCTTTAATGTGGACACTGACGCCAGCAATGTGGGGATCGGGGCTGTCCTTTCTGATAATCAAAAGTTATTTTCATGGGCTTAGTTGGGGGTTTGCTGTCTTGTCTTGATTTAAGAGTTAGGTAAGGGGTAAGCAGGATCTGCCAAGCAGGCAGACACGAGTCTGACAGGATGGGGAGTCAGTTTATGTCCTGGCTGAGGAATGTAAGGTCTGCGGGTCAACTAGAAGATTTACCAGCCAAGGGGGGTTAGAGACACACCAACACTATTCAACATACACACTACAATTACGATGTTTACGTTAAGCCAGGAGTCTGGACATTGGATGTGACCGGATCTTAGATGCGGGAGGTGGAAGGTCCTCCTCTACGCCAGTTTAGGGCCAATAGAAATATTTCCTTCTCTGTCTTTCAAGGGTTATAAAACATGATGTTCTTGCTGATGTTAGTGAGTTGTTCTTCCGGCCTGTGTGCTGCCTGAACTGCTCCTGCCTTTGCAAACGCAGCGCTGATACTTGACCTGTGATCTGACAAATAAATTTTCCAGAACGAGAGAAGTTATTCGGCTGAATTTTTGATAACCCCGACCAGGCTCCAAATCTTGAACACGTATTCTTACATTTCCCAACACGGGGACGAGGGGGAACGTGCAGAGGATTGGTAAATGAGCTGTAGATTAGTCCACTTTCAAATTCATCGTTTTCATACTACGTTGTGTTAAATCATTCATGTAATTTGATGCACCATGAAGCTCAAATGATTAGCTCAGTAATTGATTAGTAGCTCAACAGGAAATATTCTGTGTTCTTTGCTGAAAAGCAAACCGCCCTACGTAGTAATACAGATGTAGCAGCAAGGGTATTAGTAGGGTAAGAACTCTACTGATAGTTATTGTCATAGACAAATATATTTTCTTGTGAAAAATCTAGTGTTATCAGTAAGATTCCCTGATTGAGCCACATATGACTTATGGACAAAGACACAGTGAATAAAACCGTTCTATTAGCTACACTTTTAATGTTTGATTAACTGGAAACATGGACAGTATGCCCTCAGTGCTTGGTGAAGAATATTAAATGGGTCTGACAGCGCCTGACTTAAGCTTGTTCTGTGAAAATAATATGAAATGGTGAGTAGACTTGATGAAGCATCCAATAAGTTACAAGTCCATGGAGGATGTAATGCAGAAAACATCCAAAAGAAACATCAAAATAGAACTCAACCACAAAAGAACATGTACAGGATATAACTAAAGTGCATTATGGAATTTAGTCAGAAGCACCATGATGCATTCACAAAATAAATACACACTTTCAAAGTGAAATAAATTATGGTAGAACGGTTTGAACAGATGTATGCAGTGAACAGTTTGTGTGCACAGTAACTGTAAGTTTACGATAGTCAACATGGAGCCAAACAAAGAAGTAGACCACTCGGCCTCCCAATTTTATGAAGTTACATAATAGTCAGGCAATAAATACTCGTGCACTCGGTTGGTTAGAGATGACAACATGTGGCTTTGTTTTGAAGTCAAAATCACAAATGTTGCAAAATAAATATGGACCTAAAAAGATGTGATAATTTGCAAAAACGTTCTGATCAAAAATATGAACTCAGCAAAACATTATCATACAAGCACAAACACAGGACATTATATGAAGTGACTAAGTCAGCCATGAGTAGAGTCTCTCAGCTCCAGGTCACGCTGAACCTATGTCCGTGTCTTAGTGCAGTTCCATCCAAACGGGAGTCTCTTAACCAGGTCTTAACCAGGTCACTGAGTCCTTCACGGCTCCTTGGCTGTGACAGACGGCGTACGTGTACGCTTCTCGTCGCTCTCTCTATGGCGGCCCAGCCTCGCCTTTTTTTCCTCTTGGTGGCCACTTTAAGTGGCTGGTCCTTGTAAGCCACGGCCTTGTTGGTCTCCTGTGGCAGGGCAGGGCCCTCTATGTCCGGGCTGAACGTAGTGGGAAGGTTCTTAGTAGCCCCGGGGGGCTTCTCGTGCAGGGTATTCCCACTGAAGGTCTGGATTTGGATTCGGCTGTGCACGGCTCGCTCGTTGACGGTGTGCACCTCTTCCAGCAGCTCCTGCAGCCACATGCCTCGCTTGAACTCCTGTAAGGAGCGGCTCTTGTCATGCATCAGCTGGGCGTGGCTCACTGACCTCTTCCTTTTTGCAGGAAAATGAAGACACGGATTGAGATAAATATATACACATATAAATATATATGTACTTTATTATATATATATATATATATATATATATATATATATATATATATATATATTGTAAATCTGCATTGTGCACGAGAGGAGAGAAGCATGTTCAAGTTCAGTTTCCCTAAATATGTCAGATATGTACTTTATTCTAATTCTACAACTACCAATTCAACAATTTAACCAGAAGTCTTCATTTCCAAGTCAGCACCAACATAATCTGACAATTTTCTCTTTTAATTTCATGATGCACCACTGTATTGAGCTTTTGCATGGAGCAGTGTTAGAAGACTTGAAAGCAGAAAAGTGGTCAGGCACCAGAACAGCTCAGTACAGTAGGTAGCATAAACAAATCTATGAGAGTCATAACTAATCTAAGCACCGGCCCCCAAAAAAATTAGTGGAAATGGAAAAAACTCTTGTGCCTTTATTTCATCTGATTAATCTCTAGATGTGGGTTTTCTAATCCTAACCGGAATGTTTCAAAATTGTTGTTTCAGTTAAAGTTGAAATATTAACTAGCTCTCCATTTTAATGTTTCATATTGTCTAAAATGTCCATCACTTTTCTATTGTCCTCAAAATGATATAAAGGATAACTCACGTTCTGCTACTTAGTGCAGCAACCGGTCTCCCGTCAAGAGTCACTAGTGAGCACAGCAAGAACACAGCCAGACTACACTGATGAAGCATGACTACGGAGCACATCCTTAAGCCCAAGATCTGAAGAACACAAGAAATAGTAAATCAGTCACTTCAGTGAATAAAGTGGAACTTTGTTTTCATGAACTGTCCACTATTCGATAGACAGTCCAGCGGTGCAGCTAAAAAATGTTGCTCCGTTCCAGAGTACGTCAGCTGCCCAAGGCAACATTACTTGTGCAAACAGTTTATTAAAAGGAGAAACATAGACTTACAGGTTTGCAGTGAAATCCACAAAAAGCTCAGTCTGCAAACTAGTAAGAAAAAATTCATTTACAAAGTAAAAAGAAAAATTATTTTCCCAAATGCAATCTGGCCACTTCAAAACTTGTGTCCAGATGGGAATGCAGGCAGCATGGGGAAATCCCCCGTCACTCAGCTCCATTCATTTTCCTCCCAACAGGGTAGGTTGAGCTATTTATTTCTCTCCAATTGAGAGACAGATAAAGATGGAAAGACCAGCAGCAGAAGCAGCAGCCCATCAGCTGTGGGGCTGCAAACTCCACCCGGCGTTGCAGTAATCTCATGAAGAGTTATGATGAAGCATCTTCTCTGGTGGCCAGAGCCGCAGCGCTGTGCCAAGGGTTTTTTTTACAGTCCAGCTCTGTGCAAGTCTGTCTGAGAAAGGCACAGTGAGAAAGTCAAACTCCTCTTTGCGGGAAGAAGAAGAAGAAGGCACTACCTCAGCTCCTACCCATTAAGTCCAGTCCTAACACCCTCCCCACCCTTCCCTGTCCCCCAGTGCTGTAGTGGTAAAATTAGAGGTGGGTAAACTCTGAATTTTGTGATCATACAGACCTCGACGCGATGCGAAGCAACGCAACACAAAGCGTTGCGACTCTGTAAGGCTGGCTATATTGCATTATGTTATCAGTAAAAGTCATATACAATCAATGACAATGAATAAATGTGTTAGTAGTTTGTAGTTTATTAAATTTAAGAAAACAGTAAAGAAAAGTATGTCAACACAACACAACAACACAATTGCAGATTAAGAACTATCTACATATGGAGTCTCCTTTTTACAGAAGTGCCCAGAGGGCCTCCTTGTCCTCCACGTCAGGTCCTGCCTTGCACAGAGGAGCCATGAACCCCAGAACACATGTTCTGGGGTTCATGGCTCCTCTGTGCTTCTCTCTCTCTATTGGACCTGGTGTTTCTCCTCTCCCTGTGCTCTCTGCATCATTGCCTGTCCTCTCACTGCCTGAAAAAATATGTTGAATTTAAGAGTTAACCAGTTAAGCAGCCTGTCAATTACACTGGCAACATAAGTTAAAGGAACACTCATGTACTACCTATGTCATCATAAATAGCCTATACAGCACGTTTTTTTCACATTGAGAACTGACTTGTTTTCTAATCTACGCGTCACCAGGCGTTTTTCTTGTCCTTTTACCGTGCACGACCAGCGAACACAGAGCGCGCGACTACCCCCCCGTCGGTCGTTCCGCCCGCAACGACTACTACACCCCCCGACCCTCCCCCGTCGGACCTTCTCGACCGGTCCGCGAAATATTGTCTGACATGAAACCGGTCCGTGAGGTAAGAAAGCTTGGGGACCACTGGGCTGATCCACACTGTCTATGTGTTTACACACCTCCTGGATCCTGATTGGTCGCTGCTGCAGCCGCAAGGCACTGATTGTATACTGATTGGACACTACAGCCCTGCTGTCCCCCTCCCCCTCAGCCCTTCACACACACCTGCTGTCACAGGAAGGTGGCTCCCGTGCGACATCCTGGACGCCCCACAACAAAGAGGTGCACTTTGCTCAAGTTCAATTTTAAGCCGTTTCTCGTCATTTGAGACCAAATGAAGTCCACTGATTATTTAATCGGAAACATGTCCAAAAAAAGTGACAGGTGTGCAGTGTTGGAGGTAATCGTGGGTTACCAAGCAGAGGGTATATAAGGGGAGGGGCAGACTTACGTAAACAGCCCAGCCTAACCACAGTCCCAAGGGAGAATGACCATAACCTCAGAGAAACCCAACCCACAGCTTCTTACTGCAGACCATTCAATTCACCCCTATCCCGCCTCAGCAAACCAGCTCACCACCATATGGTTAGAGTGGGCGCTGAGGTATCCTCCATGTCCACCTAATAAAGAAGGTGGAGATCTTTGCATTTAGTCAGCAATGCACAAGTTCTGGCCCGTCTCAAGCATCCACACTCTAAAAAAGTTCACAGTAAATTAACGGTAACTTACTGGCAGCAAGGATGCCAGGAATGTACCGTTATTTTACGGTATAATACCGTAAATGTTTTTTTTACACAATGTTACCGTAACATGGATTACAGTAAATTGGCATTAACTTTACAGTCACTTAACGGTAAAATACTGGCAGCGAATGCCAGTAATTGGCTGTTTTTTATGGTACACTGCCGTAGAATACAGTACGTTACCGTATAATGGATTACTGTATGTTACCCTAAACTTGAACCAATTTTACTGTGAATTATCTACTGGCTGTCGACGCTAGTAACTTACTGTTTTATTTACAGTGCTCTACCATAATATACGGTATGTTGCCGTATATTGGATTACAGTTTGTCACCATAGAATTACTTTTTTTTGTATTATAAATAGCAGAATGTTACCGTTTACTTATAACCATTTAAGACAAAAATGTTAGACATTTGTAACAAAGAACAAAACATAAGATATGCTGCATGTATACAATAATAAAAAATGAATCATAAAATCATTAGGAACAAGGTAAACTAACTGCAACAATACACTATGAAACACTTTCGATTGACCGCAGCAAACGGCTGGCGTCCTTAATCCAGTGGCTACTGTAAAACAAACCAAAATAAAATATTTAGAAACACTGTCATTGGTAAAATATTGAAATTACAAAGATGAGGAAGACAACAAGATGTAAGGAAAGAAAATGTCAATCATGCTAGGCAAATAACACTTACACCAACGTTACTTGGAGAGACGAGGCAATGAGAAACTCCTCCGATTTTGAACTGCACAGGTGTTCTGGATGAACTGAGACTACGCGTCTGACATCACGTTCAGGAGCAGTCGGTCACGATTGACACTCAAATGACTTTTAGGCAATGAACACTTTGAATAATACAAATATTAATAATATAGTCGAAGTGTCCCTAAGCAAGACCCCTAATCCCCAATTACTCCACATAAAATTATGTCAAACCATGGGTGTTTTGTATAAAAATGACAGCTACATGTATAGTAATGTCCAGTAAGTCAAAGTCATCATCGTATCTCATGAGATACTATCTCCTTATGATGACTTACAGGACCTGTTTTTCAGTGGCTGACGTCGGCTTCCATACATTAACCTACAACAGATGTAGATGGATTGTGATTTACTGTACTTGTATGTGTATTTCCACCACTTCATAAAATATATGTAACATGCACATGCAGTTGAATTACGGTTGTCTACCATTATCGTAAATTGACAGCTTTAACTGTTTATTCATGACATTAGCCGTTAATTTACAAGCAAGGGAAGGAAATGTAACTGTATGTTACAGTTATTATGACATACTGTAAGATACCATTAGAAATGCACCGTAAATTTACAGCAATTTGTTACAGTGCAGCAACTTTTATGAATTGAGTAAAAACTTCATAAATACACAGATTAAAGGTCAGCCTTTTGATGGAAGGTTTAGCTTGTGTGTGGATATAATTGCATGTATTTTTAGTAGCACCTTGAATGACAGCACTGCATGAGCGTGTGTAGAAGCATGTGCAGCAAGGGAAGGGCTCTATAACTGATTTGTACGGATTTTAAACTTATTTCTGTTACAATGCTTGCATCAGCATCCTTTTGGAAACTTTGGAGGGGACTTTTTGCTCAGAGCCACCATATGCACTGGAAAAAATGCCCCTCCAAAAATAAGTAAAAAAACAACAAATACGAGACGTTTTTGCTTGAAATAAGCAAAAAAATCTGCCAATGGAACTAGTGAAAATCGGCTTGTCAAGATTTCTTGAAATAAGATGTAATATTTAGGACTTTTGAGATAGGAATTGATCTTGAAATTAGCCAGGTAAACTTATTTTGAGCTATATTTTACTAGTATTAGAAAGTGTTGTGTATCATAATAAGCTTGAAATGCTCAAAAGTAGCTTTTTATTTTTTCACTGTTCATGGCATCCCTCTTATTTCAAGTGTATTTAACTCATTTAAAGTTCTAAAATAGTGACATTGTCCTAGATTTTAGACCACCACCAACTTGAAATAAGATTAAAAAGTGATTATTTAAGCATTTTAGGATAAAAAATGTCTTGAAGTTAGCTGGAAATACTCATATTATGCATTGTTTTACTCATAAGAAGTGCTTTTGTATCATAACTAATCTCAATTCAAGTGCTTTTAACTTAATGTTAGCTCTACAATAGTGATACTGTTCTAAATTTAAGACAAACGCATACTTCAATGAAAACAAGTTGTGCATTAAACAAACAAATATTTTATTTGCATAAGAAAGAGCATGCCTCTTTAGCTCTGAAATGCAGGAGGGAGCAAACAATTCTTACAATACAGTGCAGTTAGTCAGTTACACTGTGCCTGCAGCACCAGTCATGTTTTGGCGCAGTGTGTATGGCACTGTAATAAAATACTAATAATAGTAAAAAAACATAGCAAAACATGACATATATGTGTAACACATGGATTACAGTCAGACATAATCATCTGACCTCTGTCTCCTCAATACACTTACAATGTGCTTATTATTGCAACAAGTTATGGGTCTTGGGCTAACATTAACATAAATATTTGACCACTGTGTCCCTCAATAGATCAACAACATTGTTATTATTGCGACCTTAACATTGGGAAACATTTGCTGAATAAGAATGGAAACGGCTTTACTTGCCAACAAAGGCTTTCCAGTCAGCCATGCCCTTCTTGAAAGATGGTGTGAGGTCTCGCTCATGGATTGTGTCCAAGAGAACCTCCGTTTTTATGACAGAGAGCAGAGTGGCTACGCACCTGGGGTAAGTAAGGTGTAGAGCATAATAGTAGG